ATCCGCTTGCTGGAGGCGCAGATCGCCACCGGCGGCATCATCGACCCCGAGGAGAGCCACCGCCTGCCCGTGGAGGTGGCCTACAAGAGGGGCCTCTTTGACGAGGAGATGAATGAGATCCTGCTGGACCCCAGCGATGACACCAAGGGCTTCTTCGACCCCAACACGGAGGAGAACCTCACCTACCTGCAGCTGATGGAGCGGTGCATCACGGACCCAGAGACCGGCCTCTGCCTCCTGCCCCTGAAGGAGAAGAAGCGGGAGAGGAAGACTTCTTCCAAGTCCTCTGTCCGCAAGCGCCGGGTGGTGATCGTTGACCCAGAGACGGGCAAGGAGATGTCTGTCTACGAAGCCTATCGCAAGGGCCTCATCGACCACCAGACCTACCTGGAGCTGTCGGAGCAGGAGTGCGAATGGGAGGAGATCACCACCTCGTCCTCCGACGGCGTGGTGAAGTCAATGATCATCGACAGGCGCTCGGGGCGCCAGTACGACATCGACGACGCCATCGGCAAGGGCCTGATTGACCAGTCAGCCCTGGACCAGTACCGCTCAGGCACCCTCTCCATCACCGAGTTTGCCGACATGCTCTCCGGCAACATGGGCGGCTTCCGGTCGCGGTCATCCTCGGTGGGATCCTCCTCCTCCTACACCGTCAGCCCAGCCCTGACACGGACCCAGATCTCCATGTGGACCGACCCGACCGAGGAGACCGGGCCGGTGGCGGGCATCCTGGACACGGACACTCTGGAGAAGGTGTCCATCACGGAGGCGATGCGCCGCAACCTGGTGGACAACATCACGGGGCAGCGGCTGCTGGAAGCCCAGGCCTGCACCGGGGGCATCATCGACCCCAGCACCGGGGACAAGTGCTCTGTCGCCGACGCGGTCAGCAAGGGCCTGGTCGACAAGATCATGGTGGACCGCATCAACCTGGCGCAGAAGGCCTTCTACGGCTTCGAGGACCCGCGGACCAAGACGAAGATGTCGGCGGCGCAGGCGCTGAAGAAGGGCTGGCTGTACTACGAGGCCGGGCAGCGGTTCCTGGAGGTGCAGTACCTGACGGGGGGCCTGATTGAGCCCGACGCCGCGGGCCGCGTGTCCCTGGACGAGGCGCTGCAGAAGGGCACCATCGACGCGCGCACCGCCCAGAAGCTGCGGGACGTCAACACCTACTCCAAGTACCTCACCTGCCCCAAGACCAAGCTCAAGATCTCCTACAAGGACGCCATGGACCGGAGCATGATCGAGGATGGGACCGGCCTGCGGCTG